ATAATTATTATAATTACTTTTTATTTGAGCAATGGTGGCTTTTTGATGAATATAGAGTAAAAGTTAATAGCGAATTAAAACAGTTAATAGTTCGGGGAATTTAACTTACATTTGGCATTAATATAAAATAGAAGTTTAATATATAAGAGATGTTGCTATTGGAAGAAATTTACTTACTTTGATTATAGATATCTGAATTATTTCAAATTCCGTTGCGTCATTTTTTCTTCTGTGTACCAATTTTTGATAATCGATATCTTTTTGTAATCAATAAAAGCAAACATCTTATTGCCAAGTGATTGATAAGAAATAAACACAAACCGCATTCATGCAAAAAACATAAGATAACAAAGATATGAGAAGCTTTATCGAATTCTCGTTACTGTACCTGTAAACTAGCAACATATTAGAAAGTCAGCCCGATTTGTGGTCGCCCATGCGAACGATTTTTCGAAACGCTATTAACGCTGTAATCAGGAAATTTGAACCGACTTCCTTCGCATCAATTTATACGCTGGGTTTCTTTACGTTTTTTTATCTTCTCGGTCTTCACTGTCTTATTATTTGCGTGTCAGTTAAGTATTTGGAGGCCCGGTGGCGCAGTGGCTAGCGGATCGCGCAGCAGCACCACAGGTCCGGGATTCGACTCCCGGACTGGGCAAGGTCGACTCAGCCTTTCATCCCTTAATTTCCACCACTTCGGTCGATAAAACAGTACCAGGTTCGCTTGGGGACTAAAAACTAGGAGTCCTGTGACAAGCTGACCACTTGTTCAGGGCATATGTTTACGCACCTCGGGCCCACGGTCAAGAAAGCAGATTTTCGGGCACTATGCCACTGAGTTTAGTAGTTACGTATTTGAGTGAATGTTTGTGCTTACAAAAATCTGACTTCTGTGTTCTCAAAGGTATTCAGACTGCAGATATCAAAAGTACGTACTATGTATTATTATATGAATGAAAAGGTTCCTTGTCATTTATTTCGGTAAACTTCATATATTCAACGGAAGTTCTTCCACCATTTTTTTACTTAAATACCGCGATCTGAAATTTTGCAAAGAACTCAGATTAAAAGTATTTCCAGTAAAGAATTTTAGTATAACACATTAATTGTTAAAATACTCAGAACTACGCTTCTAAACTGCAAATTTATGTGTTAATTTGCAAACTAAATTTTGATTTTTTTCTAAGACTGCGTACGTAAGTTGAGGATATGCTCCAAAAGATATTTATCAATAATCGGATTACCGTAACCAGTTTATTTCTACAGATACTTCTGTGTAATATGCACAAGTTAATAATTCACAACAATAGGATTACTACTTTAAACTTTTGAAGGACACTTTAAGGACAGACAGAACCGTAGTGGAATGTTAGCAGATTATGAAGTTAAGTATTCAGCTACCAAATGTAGAAATATAAAGTTTCAAATTGGATAATTTTACTTAAGTTATTAACATAATTTTGCTTATCTCTAAGAGTAATACAAGTTGCATTCCAAAATTTATGTAGCAAAATAGCAGTGTAATAGAATAAATAAACTAATTTTATGTTTTTATCTAATGAAATTTAACTACTATACGACCTTCGAAATCGACTATTAGAGAATCCGATGTATAAAATGCTTTGAAATGCTTACACGGAACATCTTACTAATTAGAATTTCTTCAGCGGGAAATGGTCTAGGAGAGAGGAGACAATTCCTGCTATCATTCGGTAGCCACCAGGAGTCTCCACTTTCCGTCACCGTCACTTGCAGGAAATGGTTATAAAAATTTTAATTTGGTACACCTTTGGAAAAGTACTAAGTACACAAAATTGTTATATTCTAAAGGCCTAACTTATCTGATTCATTTTCTGAGCTAGAACGATTGCCTACGACTAATTATTCAAAAGATATTTAATCGAGTCATATTTACACGCATTCTATAAAAGTTTGTACATCAGTGTTAAGCGCGGGGGGGGTGTTGCATTAGAACGAAAGGACAACTGAAAATCACCAGATTGAAATTAAAAATTGTTTTAACTCCATTACAGAGAAAATAGGTATTTTTAAAATTTAAACTTGACAGTATAAATTTTAAAAATACCTAATGTTTAATTTTACATATAAATTTAACAACTAAAATACTAAAAATATAAATAAATTAAATATTTTAAACCCAAAGTCTTCAATGACTATAGTTAATTTTTCTGTCACTTGGAAATAATTAAATTTTGCAAATAAGATTTTTAACCTTTCAAATATGTCTATATTCCAAAGAAAGCTCTAGAATTTTTTTAAAGCTTTTAATGATTTCTTTCTTTTTAATTTTTGCCAGCCAAATTAAAACTGATTTGAAACATATTTCTTTTCTTCTACTATTATTGCAACGAAACTATTGAAACATAACGCCGTTCTCCGTTTCCTGGAGATGTAGTATCCACTAGTTCCTCATATTTTTCTCGCTTTAAACTGTAATTTTAGCATAAACAATGAATAATTATACTCCAAAACAGCGAAAAATGGCATATTTCTAAAAAGCTGAAATAGCAATTAAGAGAAAAAAGGTACCATGTATGAATAGCGTCCATTGACGGACGTTACGCATGAGTGCGGAATGGTATGAAACTGGCAGAGTAACGGAAAGCCATTGTCATGGCTATTTCAGCAGCTGATGCAATTCGCTCTCGGCCTTGAGGCTCGACTTTCGTCGAAGCTAACGTTTACCTGTGGGAGGTATGTTTAGAAGAATAAAGTACTGTTTGTATTTAAGGAGAACTGACGTTTCTTGTTTTACAATCCTCCTCCTCTCTTAAGTAGCTACTCGAAATGTGTAAGCCCGCCGTTTGAATGAGGTAAGCTTTTTATATGTACCTGGCTGAAGGTCAAAGCAGTAGGTACTACTTCATGAATCACTTGTTTACGATGGAGGTAATTGTTGTAAATTATAGGCCTTTCATACATTTCAAGAGGAAAAGAGTAATAGACAAAGACAGAAAAACGAATAAAAAGTATATTAACAGTTTAGACTGTCTCATTAAGTAGTACAAAAAATTAAGTATTTATTTTTTCTTCTTCTACAATCTTGCTTGGACCTAAATTTAAATATGATCTACTACAGAATAAAAATTTCAATTAGTAAAAATGCCCATTGTATTTAAATTAGATAAAAGGAAGTTCCATAAATTTCTGAACAAAATTAGCTACCATGCGCCTAATAAATTTTTAAACTGAAAGTAAATCAGCTTACGAGACACTGAGTAACAATTATTATTTTAACGAGCTTGAAATATTTAATGATCTAAGAAGCAGTATTTGTAGTTACTCTAAATTGAGTTTCATATCTTGTATCGTAACTATGCTTGAGTTTCCTGCACAATAAAAATGCGAAAGTGATATGATTAAGTTAATTCATTAATAAATTCTTTCACGAGTAAACCTTTATGAGAAAAACTCAGAAATATCTTTACACGTAAAGTTGTCGAATTTTATGTGTTTCAGTAATTAAAGCTTAATTAATAATTAAGCTAATGTATTAATTGATGCTTTTATCCTGTAGTAATCAGAAAAAATCTTTTTACAAATCTCTTTCCACTAAGAGTACTGAGAAAGCATTCATAAAATTTTGCCTGAAAAATTTCATATCTAGTAGTTATATGGGGACTTACGTATTACCCCGTCGACCGTGAAATTGTCGCCAAGCAGTATGACTTGGCGGTAATTATGGATAAGTGCGATGTAACAACACACTCATAACATCTGCGTTTTCCTTTGATTTCCCCCCGACTGATACTGGATAAGCCACTTTTTGTTTTTATAAGAAAGAATATTTTTTTCCACCGGCGGGAACTTAGCCGACTTAGGTTTGACAGCCATTAAGTAATGACCACTTTACTGTAGAAGTACCTAATAGGTGGGCCACCGTTACTTCCTATGAAGGGACGGACAATTACGACTATGCTTTCTCTGGGATTCGAACCCAGGCTTTTCGGTATTGTCCTCTGTACCTAAGGCACTTACCGTCTGGGAGGCATCAGCAAAGATATAAATGAGCTGTTATTGATATATTTTTCTTGCATTTTGAAAAAAAAAAGTATTTTAAAATTTGGAGCCTGCCTCCTAAAGAAGAGCAAGCCGTGAATTATTTCTTATACGCATGGGAGCCTACCATTAAAAAAATTGTACATTAATGAACACGATACGGTCAGCTGAATATAGCGGACAAAACAATAAAAAACTGGAATAACTAATTTGCAGAAAGTTTGCACTTATTACATTCTAAGCAGAACTTTCAGTAAAACTAGAAAGCCTAACAATATAGTTGAAATCAACGAAAGCCTTTTTACGAAGTGTACTATCACAAAGTGTGTCAAAAAAGTGGCTTTTAAATAAAGAGGAATCAATTCCTTCAGAATTCAGGAGAAACCTTTTGCGGCAGCTTTGGCGAGATATCCGCAAACTTTTATGGTTCGATGATAGCTAACATTCGCGTCCAACGGGTTAATACGTAAGTACCGTTTCATGTTATTTAAGAATAGTTTTCCCCATGTGGAAGGTGAATAGCAGATACGTTTGTAAAAGTATCCCTCTTTCTTAAAACAGCCCACCAGCGGCCGAGCGGGTAAAGTCGCTGAACACTGGTAGTTCGGTCCGAGGTTCGAATCCCGCGAACGGGCTGGCTGCATGGGCGTTTTCGTGGTTTTCCCCATGTGGAACGTGTATACGAGCCAGTTTCCCTTAGAAAGTCCTCCACGAAAGGCATCCCTCCCCTTAGGCAGATAGCCCTAGTGTGCTTTGCCATAATTAAATACACCACACACTACACACACTTTCTTAAAACAGGTAACTTACGCATACTTGGCCTAAGCATTTCTTTTTTTTTAATCTAGTCTTAAATAACTAGGCCGTCCAACCAGTACTTAAAGAAGTAAAACTGGTAATCACTTTATTTGAATACTCTGTTTAAATTACATATTATTCCATTTCATTTTTAATATGTTGCTTTATTCTTATTGCAGCCATCCCACATCATGTTCTTCCATCGCAGAAATTATGTCTGTGCTCTTTTTCCACACTATGCGGTACAAGATATCGAATCCCAAAGATCCCGCTAGTGATCGTTTGATTCTATCGAAAGTAAGTTTATAAAATGGAATAAATAAATTAATATATATTTTTATGAATACTTTAAGCGAATTATTCATGCATTTGTTCCTCAGGTGTTTGTTTCCATACTGTTTGTTTCTATGCTGTTCTATTTCAGGTCTGTTGTGTAAAGTAACATCATCGATTACTTTAGAGTCATGCATTTCTTCATTTACTTCATTTTCATCAGAATAGATAACAGTGGTAATCTATAAAAAAAACTGAATTCGACCAGTTTTAAATTCCTTAATTTTACATATAGTTTGAATAAATATTATTGACAGATGCGATCCATGAAAGACCACTCAGAATCTGGCAATTCTCAAGAAAAAAATCTGCAGTATCCAAAGTGATTCGGAGTTAGTAGAAGGCTCACCAATGGCCAAGGGGTAAGATCACTGAACGTTGCTAATTTGACACAGGTTCAAATCCAGAAGAAGGGGCTAGCTACATAGGAGGTTTGAAATTTTTTCTCACATACAACATAAAGAAGAGCCAGTTTCCATCACAAAGTCCTCCGCGAGGACTTCCCTTCTTTAGACGTTATAACCCTTGTATACTTTGCCATAATTTAAATAATCTAATTAATAGAAACTTTTAAAGATAAGGTACTGTAGTGATTGATTAATCGCTCTGTGCAAAGGAGATTGAATTAGTCGCAGTATCAGTTGATTGTGTGGCAAAATATTTTTAACCTTTTGCCGCTCGAATACATGTTTTATTTTATTAAGTAGAAGAGAAGAGGTAAGTCGTAGTAGAGGAAAGGGTGTGGTTAATTCATAGAATTACGGCAAAGCACACAAAGACTAAGAGATATGACTTGATAGGATATTTTTAAAAGAAAGAAGTTTTTATATGGGGCGAATTCCGAAAAAACGTATGCCGATAACTCTCTCGCAAGGAAACATAATCCTATATATACTATCACTATTCAGGCAGTTTTTATCCGCTCGGTCATTCGTGGACCATTTTATGAAGTTCGGAAAAGTGCCATGCATCTTTTAAATACATGTTTTACCAGTTCTCGTATAATAACTATGGTTCGGCTAAATACATTTCAAGTGATATAGCAAAATTTATGAGGATAACATTTCCTTGATTAATTTCTATCTGCTGAGATAGGACCACTGAATACTGGTTCCCGGATTCAGTTCTATGCAAACGAACTAGATGTAGGGAATTTTCAGAACTTTCTCCTTATGTAACGTAGACACAAATTCATTTCCCAAAACGGCCCACCAGCGGCCGAGCGGTAAAAGTAGCTGAACACTGGTAGTTCGGTCCGAGGTTCGAATCCCGCTAACGGGCTGGCTGCAGGGGTGTTTTCGTGGTTTTCCCCATGTGTAACGTGTATACGAGCCAGTTTCCCTTTGAAAGTCCTCCACGAAGGCATCCCTCCCCTTAGGCAGATAGCCCTAGTGAGCTTTGCCATAATTAAATACACACACACCATTTCCCAAAACACAAAATCGTCTGGAGGTTTGGATGACTGACATTATGTAATTACACATAACAACGCACACAGCGGGCTAGAATTTCTTTGGTTATTAGAGGCATTAGAAGCTCTTGCGCCCAGCCGTGCGTTCGAATCGTAGTTTTGTTTTCATCTTTTCCCTATGTCTTGAACATTTAATGAAAGACGATTTGTACTGAATCCTTTTTGTATCTGAAAACGCTTCCGAAGGTTTTAACTGAGAATCACAGACAACATTTTAACAACTATCGGCAAAGGATGTTAACAAGCTCGAAACCGGCATTGGATACATTTCTGTTAATGAGTCGCCAGTTTCCAAATTTATGCCAAGCGCTAAATGCCATAGCCTGTTTATATCTCGTCATGAATACCTATGCGCTGTTTAGTGTGTGTAAGATGTGCGTAAGATGTGCGTAAGACAGTGTGTGTTTCCAAATTTGTGTTAATTATTTGATGATTTGCTTAAAACAAAAAATTTGAGAATTTTTAGAAATTTGGTCTCATTCACAGTTTCGGCATGAGCCAAGTGAAGCCTTATTAACAAAAAATAAATAAATAAATAAATGCTGTGTATTATCTAGAAACAAAAGAATTCATCTTTTGTGTCAGGCTATAAATTTCTATCATGAATTTATTATTAATATCAAAATTTATATAAATATTTGTAGTTAAGAAGAAACTGAAATAAAAATTTATTTGTTTTTACAGTTCAATTATTTCAGTTGAGAGAAAATAATTTTTGGTTCAGGTGTAGGACCAGTAACCAAGAATTTTTTCGCCTTTTTGAAACGTACGTTAACCGCACTATTTTCAAAATAATTTTATAAGATTTGTAGTTTTATTTTGCTGTGAAAAACTAAAAACTATGAAGAGGAACGAAAATCGCTTTCTAGAGAGAGTTTAGCAATCTGCACTGTGTTTCTCATTAAGGCTTCTCAAACCAATGACCCTTTAGCTCTTTTAATATCGTCTTCTACTATAGCGAATCAAGCGACGTAAAACACAGCCAAAAAATAAGAAAACGTCATTAATTCAGTCTGCGATTAGTTTTAGACAGAACAATATCTCAGAACGCTCTAAGGTCCTCGACTAGGCAGACTGTTGTGGCTAGCAAGAAGGCATTGTCCGGCTAACAATCTCGTATAAGAAGGACAATGTCTTTACTTACAAAATATTTGTTTCCATGCATTAAATATAATTTCCAGTTGTTGTTATTATACTGTTAATAGAGCTTCTCGTAGATTTATAATAAATATGTTTTTTCTCTGTATACAGTAAGTAATATGCAATCTAACTCAGGTACCAATCATTACATGGAGTCGTCCATCAGCCCATCGTCTCATCCGGAAGAAAAATGGAAGATAAAACAAGAAATGTTTTCTGGAATACAAGAATCAATCCGGAGAAAGAAAATATTAGATCAAGGTTTTATTAAGCGATATTCTCCGCGATTTTTCTCCTCATATGCATCATTATCCCAAGAAGTTTGGCGCGCAAATAACTATTTTCATTTTGCCTATTGTTCGATTTGTTTTACGATGCTGTAAGTTTATTGGTAAAATATTTATAGAAGCCTTTTCATATCAATATTTGGATTAATTCGTTTTTACTTTCAATCAAGAGTAAAATCGCTTAAGTACGCGCAATTCCTACATATTCCTCCTATACATAAATGTATACATCCAACTGTACAAACTGATCTCAATCTTCACACGCAAATATGAGCGTGTCTACTATTAAAGGGTGGCAGGGGAGTTGAGTCTTGTGAAAAAAGGGCTTTTTCAGCCGACAGTCGATTCAACAATTCGTTTGTGCTCCGCTGTCGCAAAAAAATGTTGGACGATACTCCGAAAGCAAATGCCAGTGTGCTGCCTAACTTCTTTAAATACCGTGTCGTTAAAACTCTACTTGATTAATAGTTTCACTTTCACTGTGGGCCGTTATCGTACCTTATTAATTCGTTGCCACAATGATCAGTTCAGATAATGTTCATGAGTTTTCTCAAATAGTAATTAAATAGATGTAAATTTATCTCCTGATCACATTTCTGTCATATAGTACTGTCTTGAAACAACCAACAAGATTAGTGACCTGAAAATACAGTCTTTCTTTGCCTTCATGCAAATTATCCCTCTTTGGAATTCGTTCGTTTTTAGCAGCACCCTTTATATTAATAAAAGTAATTAATGCTGGACATAAACAATGCTTTTTCCGTATAGTAGTTTTTGCATTATCTAATGGTACTTCTTTAAAAGCCACGCTTTCATTCATAGTGGCAATGATAATAAAAATATTTCTTCTCCGATTCACTACTTATAATCATTGGGATGCCATCCTTTGTGAAAAAATTTCTGTCTTAAACATTTGTGCGAGAGGCTATAACTTTTATTTTTCTGTGTTTTTACGCCCCAAAATTCTTAAGTTAATTATGAAATAAATTTCAAAACCTGATTAAACTTTTTTTTTTTTCTAAATTACTGAAATTTAGACTTCTATTCATTATTTATGTTTATAGGGTCATGCTGCGCCAATATTGTATGCAGCATGGGCAGAAGCTGGTTTATTCTCTGTGGATGATTTACTGAATCTGAGAAAAGTGGATTCCGACTTGGAAGGTCATCCTACACCGGTATGTTAAATATTATTATATTTTAATTACTTTTATCTTTTGTGCAAATTTAGAAATTCTTTAAAAGCTGTATTATTAGTTATTTATATATCAATATTTTTAATCCTTAATTATTCAAATTACAAAGGCTGCTAAAAAATTAAAATCAAGAAATCAAAGTTGACGGAGATCCTGCCAGATTGCACCATTTGTTCCTGCGGAATTTTAAGCCGCACTTCTACCTGCAGCTCTTACAATAAAACATTCGTTAGTCTCTGTGCGATCCCACTAAATAATCGACGCTGCCGAAGTGATCGACTCGTTTCGTTCTTTGCGCTTTGTAAAAACGTTTTCTTTGACTTCTGTTTTGTTAGGCCCTCTGTTTAGAACGTTCGTGAGTACAAACTTAAAGTTTAAGATTGTTCCAATCTGTTACTGTTTTGTCAGCCATATCCATCTATTCTCTATTCAACGAATGTTAATTCTCTCAACCAGTAATAAATGAACCGAAGTGTGGTCACATGTGATTCGTGCAAAACATATACACCAATAGCTGTTAATTTATATCCTTATTCATAAAAAACAAAAGATGGATTATCAAGAATCGGTCAGGCTTACATCAAACGAAGGCGCAAATATTATAAGTGTGTCGTGATATCTCGCTTATCCGAAACTGGTGCTGAGTCTCGCTGCTTGAAGACAGCTTCATGGTCGACTGGATAATCCGTAAGTACCGTACAATGTTTAATATGTGCAGTGCCAAGGCCGCTCGCAAGAATAACAATTTCGTTCTCTCTATGCTCACAGCGATTTGATTTCACTTAAAAACATCAGAGAATAGCATAATTTAGGCACTGTGCCCATTAAACGTTACATAGATTATAATCGCACAACGCAATATAAATAGATAACCACATTTGATAACTAGCCCCCTGTCAACAGAAAAATGACGAAGATCTTTCTGCTACGGATATCAGCAAAGTTACCTTTCATTTAGCTGTTCAATATTTAGTTTTAGTTTATGTTTTCAAATTTTGGAAAGGGGAGAATGAAATTCTAGCACTGACGAAAGGGGTGCATGGAGCAAAAAAGATCGAGAATTCCTGTTTTATACAGTTAACCATAGTACATCTTTAAATATACTCGATTTGAAATTTACGTGATAATATTTAAATCATGACCTTTTTGTAGTTAGCAATTGTAAATATGTCAATCTTTGTTATTTATATATCTCCGATGACAAAAAATAAAACAGCGTATTGCCACAAAAATGATTTCGTGATGCATGATGCATCGAAACTAATAGTATGATAAATCGCCAAATATAGTTTTCTTATCATGAAACACAGTTAAGGAAAAAAAATTCCATTACAAGTCCTTTAAACTATTTTTTTCTCTTGTAAAATTTCTGTTAACACGGGTTTTCTATAAAGCAATACTTAGTTACAATTTATAAATTAAATTTATGTGTTTAAATCATATTGCTTCTTTTTCCATATGGTTGTTAAGTTAATGACTTTTGATTTGGGCCCTCGAGTGTTCGCGATTAGGTCTACTACGTCAGCTCGGGTTTGAAACCCAGCGGACGGGCTAGTTGCTTGAGTCTTTTCACGATTTTGACATATGCAACCAGAAAATGATTTAATTCCCCTGACAGAGTCCTCCACAAAGGCATCTCTTGCCTTAAATATATAGTTGTACTTAAAGGTTCTTGTTGTACTTGTATGTTCATTAATCAAACAAAAAAAAATTTAGACTGGCGTCCTATACCGAAATTTGCATAAATTATATTTCATGATTTATCACTTATGCCCGGCCAGCACTTAAGTTCCGAAACTAATTTACTGATGTACTGTAACTGTTAGCATAATGAAAGATTCCACTGATATCACAGTTTGCAGACACAGGAAAATTTTCTAAGCACGAGTTATAACTTTAAATCTTCTTCTAACACAATAAATTTCTTCATTTTCTACACCAACGGACTCTAACACTAAAAATAATATAGTAGTTTCATTCCGATAAACATTCGAATGTCATATCATCTAATTTCTAAATACACACGCGAAGTTTTGTGTCGTTTTAAGATGGATCCCTAGCTCAAGCTTAGAGTCGCTTTTGAAGCCACCTATAATTCTCAAGCTGAATAAATATTTATTGATTCACTGTAATTTATTTTTTTATATAGCTTCTGATTAGCTAAGACATAAAAGATAACTGAATTTTTTTATTGTTTTCCTAAATCTTTGTTTAACTGTATCATAATATTGGCACTTAGTATGCTGGCAAATCAATGCTATCTGCCTAAGGGATGGGATGTATTCGCGGAGGACTTTACAAAGGAAACTAGTTCGTATACACGTTACACATGAATGCTATATGTCATCGAAATAAGTAATTCTTGAGCACAACTGATCTCAAGACTATTGAAGTGTTAAAAAGTTCCTGTTATTTTTATGAACTACTTTGTAGTAACTTGTCTTTTTAACAATTTAAGTTCCAACACCTAAACGATTTTTTTTCTGCAGTAATAAAGAAATTCGGTTTAGAATTAAAAAAATTCTGTTTATCAATTAAAAATATGTTCTCCAGAAAGAAACTCTCACAGCTGTCTTGAAGTGCTCTAACCAATCAGCATTTGCCGGTTTCATATTTTTTAAAAATACCAATTTACTCCAAGATGTTAATTAGTTTTTAAAAAGATGTTTTGGTAGAGAAGACCTTTTAAATGAAAGTAGAGAAGTCCAATATTATATTGAGACAAGCAGGGAAAGAAGACACCTCCTTTTAACACTTCTAATCTTTCACTGTTTTATGTGCTCAGTCTGAGTACATTTGGAAAAGAGATAAATATTAGGATACGTTTAGAAAATGTTATTATTCAATAATATTTCTCTTCACAGCGTCTAAATTTTGTCGATGTGGCTACTGGTTCTCTGGGGCAAGGCCTGAGTTATGCAGCTGGAATGGCATATGTTGGAAAATACATAGATAAAGCTAGGTAAGTATAATAATTTTATTATTTATTTGTATAATCAGATTTTAAGGCGTAATACTAAAAGAATAAAAATTCTTTTGTAACAAGCACCGGCACCTGGAAGCTCGAATTTTTAATTTCGAATTTGTGTTGTTATCTGTTCATATTTTATAAAATCTAACGAATTTTTGATTAACAAACTCAAAGATTTCAAATTGAGCAGTGACAATACTGTATGGAATGAAACATTTTTATCTCCAGCGAGATAGACTGATTATCAAAAATTCTAAAGATATGTTGTTTTTAAATATTTTTAGCACAAACTCTCACGAAATTGTTCTTGAAACGTGTATGTGTGTGTAAAAGGGAAACGAAATTCTGCTGGGCGTAATATAAAATTTGAAAGCTTTCAGACTTTTTGGGGGGCAGAAGATGCCCCCTTTTTTGGCAAAAGGTTAATTATTAACACTGTAAGATTTTTACAACAAAGTCAGGTCAGTGGTTATCTCAAGCGGCGCTAGACACCTGGTTAACGGGCTTGGAAATTATACAAGCATTGTTTTTCTCATAAGGTTGAATTTCTTTGGTTGGTTTCTCATAAGGTTGAATTCTTTCGCTCATAAGGTTTTTCTCATAAGGTTGAACTTTGGAATAAATGACGGAAACAACAAAACTCATTATGTTTGTTAAGACTGAAACTCAGGAAGATCTATGGATATCTAGTCGTTTTTCTAAAGGCTTTTTCTGAGCGTTAAGAGAAGATTGAGAAAGGTTCATGGATTTTCTTATGCTTTCCTATTTTTCTTTCTTCTTTAGTGACGAATTTGTGAAAAATGCAATGTAAATATTGGCATCAAAGTTTAAGTTTACTAAATATATTAGCTATTTGTACTAAAGGTAATACTAATCATAAAGCAAATTGATACTACTGCCAACCATAATCGATATCGTCAAAATGACTGTAGATGAGACTTTATTTCGACTAGATGCAATATTTGTTGTTGTCAATGAAACGTTTTTGAAGGGTTGCTGCTAGTAGAAAGTTAAGCTCATTCATTCGGGCATTTCAAGCATTTAATAAATTTATTTACAACAGAGCCAATCAATTATATAATACGAATTTTTGCATAACTTTAAAAATATGTTTTGAAGCCTTCACAACAATATGGCTAAATAGCAGCTTTCAGAAAATTATTGATCACGTTTTCATACATGGTCAGAGCTTTCCTACCTTTAAAAATAAGCATGATTAGCAACTTCTCCACCCCAGATGCTGGAATCCTGCTGTGTATCTGAATACACGTTTCACTTTTTTCCAATCATCTTTCGAAGGATTTTCTAGGTAACGTGATAGAATGCCAACACAGTAAGCTAAATCTGGTCTTGTGCCTAACATAAGATACATTAAAGCTCCTACAGCTTCTCTATAAGGAAAACTTTCTCTGTTTGATTTATCTTTCTTTTTCTTTTCAGTTAGACCTTCCTTCAGGATAGGAGTTGACACTGGCTTGCAATCTTCCATCCCATAATGCGCAGTGGAAGCGTGCTGGGTCCATAACCTAAAAAAGTATTTCTTAAAAATACATAATCTAAAAAGGTATTTCTAAAAATAAAGAGAAAAACAAATAGCAGAGGAAAAATACGATGCTTTCATTGGAATTACAAACTATAGCTATTTTTGAACAACAGTATCGCGAAGCACGATCTCCTGATGACGACAACACTCACTGTTGCCAGAAGCTTATCTAAACTATATATTATATTATTATTATTTTTATTAACATACTTTAATACTTCCCCTTGTAAAAAAATAATAATAATAAATTAAAAGAAAAAAGTCACAAAAGTCCCATCTTATCACAAAGAATTAACAGTCTCGGTTTAAATAAAGGTTTAGTCATTATGTCAGCAACTTGCGCCTCTGTAGGTACCTGCTGCACAATGATTTCCTTTTCTAGAACTTTCTCTCGTATGAAAAAGTGCTTGATATCAATGTGTTTTGTGCGTCGATGAAACTCCGGGTTTTGTGACAGTCTCACTGCAGCGGCGTTGTCTACTTGAATTACTGGAGTTTCACGTAACTTGGTTACATCACTAAATAGTCGCTTTAACCAAATTACTTCTCTAGAACATTCACTAGCTGCAATTACTTCTGCTTCAGTCGTCGAAGTTGCAACAACTGATTGCCTTTGGCTAATCCATGATATAGCTCCACCACTATATAATATCATTACTCCACTCGTTGATTTTCCTGTTTCTTGACAGCCTCCAAAATCTGCATTACTATAGCATTCTAGAATTCCTGGTTTGTATTTATTCTTGTATGTAACACCTTTAGTTAAAGAACCTGCTATGTATCTGAATACACGTTTCACTTTTTTACAATCATCTTTCGAAGGATTTTCTAGGTAACGTGATAGAATGCCAACACAGTAAGCTAAATCTGGTCTTGTGCCTAACATAAGATACATTAAAGCTCCTACAGCTTCTCTATAAGGAAAAATTTCTCTGTTTGATTTATCTTCCTTTTTCTTTTCAGTTAGACCTTCCTTCAGGATAGGAGTTGACACTGGCTTGCAATCTTCCATCGCAAATTTTTGAAGAATTTTTCTTGCATAAGCTTGCTGACTAATTTTAATACTTCCATCTTCAAAATGTTTAATTTCAAGTCCAAGAAAGTATACTGCTGGTTTAGTTGTGATTCTGAATCTCGACTTCAATTCTCTGAGAAATTTTTCAGATTCTTGTAGATCTGTTGATGCTACTAATACTGAATATCCTACGATTTCAAAGTTCGCTTCGCTTATTTGTCTTTTACTTCTTTTGCGTCAGATGCTATATCACGAAAACAAAATGTACTGAAATCGAATCGACACTGTTCGAAGGTTGCTCACAAATGTTAGCCTCAGAGGCAATTTGGCGAAGAACTTCTTAGATATATTGGCAAAAAGATGCTTTTTTAATTATAATTAATACGGTTTTTTTAAGTCTTTCGCGTCTTTTATAAATATTATCACTCATATTTTATTGCTCAAGATCCATACCATTAAATGACGCAAGTGTACACTTTACTAGCGCTGTTACTTGCTGCAGATCTATTGCGATGTTTGCGATTGTTTCTATTTTTAAATTATGAAAAATATGTATGTATCCATGTGTGCATGCATGTACGCATGCATACATACAGGGTGTGATTCGAAGGTTTTAAGACTTACCTCAGAACTAGAAATTTATTGGACATTTAAAGTACAGCAGACTAAAATTCTTCAAAATATGATCCTTCAGCATCAACACAGCGCTGGCAGCGCGTCTTCAACTGTTCGTAGCCTTTTTGGAAGGTCTCAGGCGTCATGCTGTCAAGGACTCTCGTCGAAGCCTGCTGGATGGCGTCGATGGAGTCAAATCACTTCCCTTTTAGGGCTGTCTTGATTCGGGGAAAAAGAAAAAAGTCACTTGGAGCCAAGTAGGGGTTGTAGGGTGGCTGCGGCAGTGTTGTCACGTCAAACTTGACCAAGACTTCGGCGGCGGAGCGCAACATATGAGCGGGCGCGTTGTCGTGGTGAAGAATCCAATCGCCCTTGATCGCCGGGCGAACGCGGGAGACTCCATCCCTCAAGCGGCGGAGCACTCCAGCGTAAAAGTCACCTGTGACAGTCTGTCCACGAAAAACAAACTCCTCCACGAAAAACTGAATCAATCCTTTACCATAAAAAAAATAATAAAAACAATCAGCATGCGACTTGCTCATGGCGAGCTTTCTTGGGCTTCGGCGAGGAAGCAGTGTGCCATTTTGAGCTTCGACGCTTCGACTCAGGATTGTACTCGTAGACCAAGGTCTCATCACCAGTAACCAATTTCTCCAGAAGGGTCGGATCAACATTCAACCGTTGGAGCATTTCCTGGCAAACAGTCATGTGCCGTTTCTTCTGATCCACCGACAAAACTTTTGGCACCACTTTAGCACACACTTATCGCATCATCAAATTCTCCGTCACAATCCTCCACACGTACTCTGATTGAGTCCCAGTTCATCGGCAATTAATCTAGTACTAAGACGACGGTCATTGTTTAAAATTTCCCGCACTCTCTCCACATTTTGATCCGTTCGGCTTGATGATGGCCTCCCAGAGCGGTCGTCGTCTTCAACATTCCCGCGGCCATCTTTGAAAAGTTTGTGCCACATGAAAACCATTGCACGGGACGAGAGTCTCCGTGGCGGTTTTGTTCAGTCGCACGCAAAACTTAATCGCATAACGTTGCTCCAAGTGCTGCTCCATTTTCGCCTCTCCCACTTTTCGACTCACTTTCGACCGAGGTCAATAACGCGCACTCACGCTGCAAACGATGCGCACTCTCCAGGGTTCCGGAGGCAACAGCCGCAACGTCAATTCGTTCTCTGAGAACCCCTTACTTCCCCCACCCGGCGGAACCGGCACTCCCCCTACTCAGAAATGAACCAGTCTTGAAACTTCTGACTCACACCCTGTATATGTATGTTGCATACATGTACATATGTGCACATGCATACACGTGTGCATGCATGTATGTGCCTCACATCGTGGAAAAACGACGACTATTACAGCCATCAAATTTTGAACACAGTTAATTCTCTACCCGCCTTTTTGAAACATTTGTGGCATTCGGGCATTTCCAGGCCAGAATTTTAAATCCTTTTTCGTTTATTTCATACCTTTAGAAAATTTAACGATTTTTTAATTAACAAACTGAGCAATTTAATAGCAATCTGCTGCCATTTGTTTAAAGATTTCATGTAAGATACTTCTGTTTCATATTATTAAGATGAATTAGATTATCCGTTAGATTCAGGTTCCTGGGCTTCACAGCACGATCCTGTGTAGAACGAAGTACAATAACTTCCATGACATAGCCATGACTTTCTCTGTGACTAACATTCCTTTAAAAGTGAAGTTAGAGGCTAAAGCTTAATTCCGTACAATGAGTTTCACATCTAATCAGAAAACTCAAGTCAGCGATTTAAAATAAATAGGTTGTCACTCGGCAAACGAAATGTATGTGTATTTCAAATTTAAACAACAATCTTAGCAATTTAAAAATAATATGTTGTTGCTGCCTGAAATGAAATATCTTTATGTTCCATGCGCCAGTGAACTGCTATTTTGCCGAGTGTAAGATACTTAATTTTTCTTTTAGATTTAAACCGCCTGTTATTGACTGATTAACAAACTAAGCGACTTAAAAGCAGTAAATATAATTATTCTTCTCTATCAGTACTAATTACTAGCTGTACCCATGGAATTGCACTAGCTAAACTCATTAAAATAATTGTGTATATTTTCTTTTTAATATTAATTATTTTTACGTGGGTAGCCGTGCAAGTAGTTAGTCTTTTCATCTAGACGTAAGTAAAGAAATGTTGCCATTTTATATTTGAAAAATTTAAATAAGCATAAATTTATAACGCGTGACAGATGCTAAAAGTGTTTTTATGTGTAGATTTGAGAATTAGATAACATTTCACATGAACTTAATTTCTCCGTCTCTTCAGTTTGGACCAAATGTTATCACCAACGTAATATTGTATTCAGAATTTTGAAATAATTAATTTTATGGTGTTTGATTCCATATGAAACTTAATAACTTTGTGATTTTCGGAGACACTGCAATTACTGGATCTTATTCTCTTCCTTTTAAAATGTATTTCAGCTCTTGTAAATGTCATTTAATATCACTAAAGTTCTTTACAAATAACTCCGCAGAATATATGGTATAAGAGAAAAGCAAAATTATTTTCCCCTTCCTGAAATGAAGATAAAATATCTTACGTTATCTGAATTTTATCATATGAGAGGTACAATTACTTTTGTGAGATTATTAAGATTGAAGTAAATGTACAACTAAATATAACGTTTTTATGATAAAATTCAGGATCTAGCGGAAGATATCAGATTTACAGAATGCGTTCTTTGATTTATTAGGCTGCTTTGAAGTGATTAGGAGACCTTACATTTTGAGCAATTTTCATTTTCCATCTTCAAGACATAAACAGAAACACGGGAATAAGAATTTTGTTCCTGGATATAGGACATCTGTATTTACATTTTGCGCTACTTAAATACTTGTAAAATTATTAATATCTTATCTGTTTTATGAATTTACTCCGATCTGCCTATCTATATTATTTCAAATAGAAAGCTCCTCTGCACTTATTTTTTTTGACATACATGCATAACCGGATATATCTGTATTATGGATTTTAAAAGAATAACATTTAAAGAATGCCTCGAAAACATATTTAGAAATTTTACATTTGATGTACGAAAATGGTAATTTGTTCTCAATTCAATTAAAATTATTAAGCTAATAGACCCAGGGCTACGAAATTTGGTACATAGGTGCATCTAGACCAGAGCCAGTGCACCTCGAAGCAATTTTTTTCAAAATTTGAATCAGATTTTTTTATTTTATCTTTATTGATGAAATCGCATCATTTTGAATTGTTTCATTCTCTTAGAAATATGGTTTCGACGAATTTTTGAATTGTTTCATTCTCTTAGAAATATGGTTTCGACAACAGTTCGTCATTCAATGCTTTGTATACTGGACTGCTGACTGGCACTGTTGCCACTTGAGAAAATGAGAGCGATAATTCTGTGTGGTTTTTAAATTTAATGTTTCTCTTGGGTACTGGATGTTTGTTTAGAGAAGGCAACGGGAAGTTATTTAATTTATTTATTAGGATATTTAATATTTGTATTAAGGTATATTGCTTATTTCATTGTAATTTTTTATATGTAATATACTTTTATTGAAAGTTTTGTCTTTTTTTTTTTTTTTAGTCCAAAGGGATTTGAATCCCGAAGAACTATTAGTTTCGTTTTGGCATTTTGCGTCGGACGGATAAATGTCGGTTCACTTTTCAAACTGTTGCCATAAAATGTTAGAGTCCTGCATTATATTTGAAGAAATTAAATAATGAAAATCTGCGTAAATGTATGTATATTTCTCACATTGTCATAAAATAACGGTACATAGAGTCATCGACTTTTGAATAACGTAATCCTCCAACGAATATGAGCATGTGGAAGACCAAATTTGAAATTTGAAATTTGTTTTATGATCGATTTCCTATTTTTTAAAACTTTGACGAATTTTTGATTAACAAACTCAAGGATTTCAAAGCGAGCAATGGCAACGTTGTGCAGAAAAAACATTTTTATCTCCAGCGCGTGAGTCTCTGTATCGGAAATTCTAAAGATATGCTCGTTTTAAAACTATTTAACTATTTTGCGATATTGCTGTTGCACTGGATCTTATGGTTTAAGTGCGAGGAACGTGATATTTAATAAAGAAAGGTAACACACAAAATGTTAAAAAACGCCCCTTCGGACGTAATTTAAAATCTGAAACATTTCAGATTTTTTTATTTTTTTTTAATTTTTTTTTTTTTTTTTTTTTTAATGTTGTTGTTCTATAGGGTAAAATTCTGTGCAGTTTTTAAGCTTAATGTTTGGTGTTCCCTTTACACATTTTTTCGATACATTTAAAAGCCAGACGAAGGTTGGCCGCGTACTTTTGCAATGTAAGCTATGTTTTAGTAACGAAATAATTATTTGGTGGTGAAGAAAAGTTAATAAAATTTTCATGATCGTTTCTTTGAAGAGATGATATTATTACTTGAATACAACGAGTGCTTTCTTTGATGAGGAGCTCATGCTATTGAACATAAAAGGAAATTTAACACAGCTTTTATTAATTTTTTTCTTTGAAAGAAAGAAATTAAAAATCCGGCTATTATAATTGTTACAGAATGAACAAAGCCGTTAGAGCTGGCGATTAAGATTAAAGGTTTAAATCATTACTTGAAGAATATGAAATACAAAATTTTACTTCGATGAACGGGATACTGCAGAAGCAGAAAGAGATCACGATGCTTTCTTTATGCTTAGAAATATGTAAATCTGAAATTGCTGAATTTAGTTTTCTAAAACGATAATGATATTTAGAATTTAAAGGAAATTTTGAACATATACTTAAATCTCTGTCATAAGCCTTTCTTTTAAAAAAACTGAAATTATGGTTTAAGTTAAAAATCCAAAACTGTTTTAGTTATTATTAATTCACATCTTCGAAGTATATGGAATAGAAGTTCTAGTTATTTTGAGAAGATTAAAATTTTTAGTGTAATAGTTAAAATTTTATAATTCTTTTATCAGTTATACTTGTATACCGTAATTAAAATTCCAAATTTATTTAGTGTAATGATTAAATATTCCTCATTCGTAATTTGGGAATAGTGAATATGAAAAAAGAAATCTTTTAATATTCATACTTTGGCATAATGATTTGAGTTACTATACCGATACTAACAATTACTTAAAAGTTAAAGAATTAAGAAAATATGCATACATGTGAAAATGAAGTGTTGCTGAAAATACTACTTTTCAACTATACTTTAATTCAAATTTACACGTTTGTAATACTAAATTAATTTATTTCAATTTATGAAAGATATGTTACACTGAATTCGCTGCCTAACGAAATTTGTGCTCACGAAATTGTCATCTAGCTAAAGGAAAAATCCTCTTTTATCTTTCTCTTCAAATCTTACATGAACACTGTCATACAACTGCATTCGTTAAAGTACGACAAATATCGTTAATTATGTGATTTTTGTAATGTGTTTATTAGAAATTTTTGCTCATGTTATAGCTATCGTGTATATTGCATTTTGGGAGACGGAGAATCAGCAGAAGGATCAGTCTGGGAAGCCTTATCCTTTGCCTCTCACTACAAATTGGACAATCTTGTGGCTATTTTCGATGTTAACCGACTCGGACAAAGTGAAGCCGCACCTCTACAACATAATTTAGATGCGTACAAATCCAGGCTTGAAGCATTTGGGTAACTTGTATTTTTATTACACTAAAAGTAAAGAGTACAGATAAATTAATTAACTGAAAAAAATAAATCCAAGAATTTTTCAAAAAACATTTTTTGAAAATACAAATGTCTTAAATAAGAGGAAAAGTAAACTATGAAAGCAAGGCATTTATCAAAATCATTTCTATATAATTTCAAGATTTTATTTGCATCTAAATGCATTTTGATTCAACTTCAATGTTTAACTTGCACCAAAAAGATTTATATTTAAGTCATTATCAACTAAAAGTTTTATTTAATTAAAATATTAAAATACTCTATATATCAATGCCATATAATCATGTGGTATTTATAGAAATGCTTTTTAGCTTTAAACATAGAAGTTCATATTTATTTTTTGCTTTTTTCTTTGTTCAATCAAACGCAGCTGCGTAACGTACACGATAGACGGACATAATGTTGCGGAACTGTGCAAAAAACTAGAGGATGCAAAAAGAATTAAAGGATTTCCTACTGCTATTGTTGCGAAGACGTTTAAAGGTAGAAAATTCCCAGGTATGTGTAATTTATTTTAAATTCACAAAGATCGTGTGGACTTTGTATTCTTAGTATGTACTGAGCTTGTATTCTTGCTTAAATTCATATTTAATTCCTCGCCTAAATAAAAAGCACAAAGCACAAATTTAGTTTACAAAAAATATAAAAAAATTTAAAAAAAAAACGTTATCTATTGAGCAAAAGCACATGAACCAATTAATTTTAATCCCATCCAAATAGAAATCCATTTCCTAAATACTTATATGCAGAATATTCTTAGAAATGGTAAGATTTGTTTTCAAATGAATTTCAGAATTCGAGCAAAATAGGAGAACAAATATAAAAACGTACTCAGGAAGTGAACAAAACGTGCAAATAAAAAGACACAAGTAAACTGGAAGGTGACCTAAAGCCTAAACGCTTCGAACTAGGAATTGTGATAATTAAAAGTGAAGATAAAATATATGTTTTTATTGATATGCTGTTTCTCAATCAAAGCATTATATTGAATTCGCACACCTTTCTTGGTAATTCAGTTATCTTATTATATATCTGAGCGGTTTCGGGAAATACTTGGAACCCTAGATACGAATAAATGCTTGCCTTCTTTGTCTCTCTTGTAAGAGTGAAAGATCTTGATAGAGAAATTGAGAAAAATGCTTCACATTGTCTTCATAATGTCTTCACATTATCTGTATTTATTAGTTTAACAACTAATGTTGAATATGGTAGATTGTTTCAGAAGAAACTAGCTCTTAATTAATAAGATGATCGAAAAATAATGTTGGATTTTGGCTTGCCAAAATTTGAGTGCGTAGTTGTATATTCTACAATCCAAATTCTACACTCCAAATTTTATAAATTATTATAATTTTTACACACCTTAGAGAATATATTCAAACAAAGTATTTTTCTGCTTATGATGCGATTTAAAAATGTGTGATTTGTTTTGAAATAATTGGGGAAAAATCCTGACCATTAAAATCAGGTATGTATTGCCATTAGTTAGATAATTTGAAGCGATTTTTAACCACCGAGAGATCTATATTCATCAACATATCTGATGTGATTTTTCATCAAGATAACGCTCAGTCACATTCAGTATGAGTGACTCTTCAAAAGTATAACAATGGGAAATTCATATTCTGTTCCTAGGAATCCAGTTAGGGTTTCCTTCAATAATTACCTCTTTTAGATTACTGCAATATTTTTGGTGGACTCATAATTCCATAATCATCAGGAGGTCAAAAATTTAATAAATGCATATTTTGCTACAAACTCAAAAGACTATTCTAAAATGGGAAGTAAACGTTGCTTGAAAGTTGAAGTCGTATAAAACGACATATCATTTAAAAGTAATGTGCCGTCAATAGAAGGCGAAATATTTAATATTATATTAACCAGAAAAAAAATATTTTTCCCATTTGAAATGTCTTTTTCAGTCGTACATTATTTCTTAATCTATCTAGCACTTTTTACACAAGAACTAGACAGCAGAACAATTCCGCAGCTAACCTTTCCAGAAATGAAAAATCTGACTTAAAACAAAACTTTCAGTCTACAATAGTTAAATTCACATGAAAAGTACAAAATGGTAAATTATGTCCGAGAGGAAATTTGCGCAGAAAATTAATAAATAAATAAAAATGATGAATGATAACTGTAATATGTGGTTATTTAAATTTCAGTAAGTTTGATATTATATAAGGTGCAGCTTGCAGTATAGGCAGAAAAATAATTGTAAATAAATATCATTAATGTAGAAAATGTCAGTTTCAGGGAATTTTTAAAAGCTGAATTCAGTCAGCAGAATTTATTTGGGTATACTAAAAAAACAATAAACGTGTTATGTCTGAACAGATGCAAATCGAGAATCCATTACCTTTTGAGGAGCCTAAGATAATGCATAAGATGTTAAGATATGTATAAAATATTTAATCAGTGAAATAAGTTGAAAAAGGAATTCAGAATGCGATAGTTTTCTCGAATAATTAACATGCATAAGAATTCTTTGAGTTGCGTTAATAAACTCAAGAACATCCTGCGCTGACTTATTGCTGTTGAACCAATATCCCAACGCAGTATAATGGCTCATCTTTTAAATATTAATGCAAAAATAAATAAATAAATAAATATTAAATAAGATGTATAAGAAAAAAAAACTGTTGTGTTAATAATTTAAAACGTCCAACATCCTCCGAAGTAATTATATGCTTTATTGGGAAAAATTCATGTAACTTATGTTTAAGTATATGTAAAGTAAGCTATTTAAAAAAGAAAGTAAATTTCTCATCACTTTTTAAAAACTAACTGTAATGCCAATGGCAAAACCAATCATAAACAAATTAGAAATTTCTTAATTTTTCAACACTGTTTAAAACATTTTATTATTACATATACTGTTTCACAATTATGGTTTTATCCTTTCTAGGGTAAAATATTCAGACAGAAAAGCTTAAAATAATTCCTAAGTGAAGTGAGCTAAAGTGAATTTTGTCCTAAACATATAATTTTTATACATAATAGTTATGAACTCCATGTTTAAAATTAATTGAAGTTGTGAAATTAAGAAACGAGTCCGGAGACTAACTTCTCCTTGCTGTAGGCTAAAAAGAAAACAGTTCAAATTATTTATCAGTACCAGTTTAAATCCTAGTAATAGTTTGGCTCTACTAACGTAATTTAACCGAAAATACATTTATCAAGTAGTAGTACAGAGCTAAAAGCAGTCGGTAACAGAGGAGTAAAGCAAGCTGAGATTGCCAACTTACTTTCCTAAACTTAGATTCTTGCTTGTTATTTAAACTCACTTCATTTGCAGTCTCTGTTGTTGTAGATAAACAGTAGGATTGCAAGAAATTTGTTCATAAGAAATAACGTATTAATTGAATAAATCACCTAATGTTTCTGTAATTTTTGTAGACATAGAAGACAAAGAGAACTGGCATGGCAAACCATTAGGAGAGAAAGGTACTGAAATTATCAATTTACTTCAGGATGAGTTAGCGAAGAAAGGAGCAACAACGAAACCCTTCTCCAGCGGCACCCGAGGGAGAAGTGCAAGAAGTGAATATTTCGAATATAAAATTATCGGAGGATCCAAATTACACAGTGGGAGAAAAAGTAATTATTTCTGTCGAAAAGAGTTTTTAACTTGCTACCGGAGAAAAATTTCTATTAAATTTTATACTCCTTTTTTTAAAAAAATGTGATTTGATAATCTTAAATTAGGATGGTAATTATATTCACCAATCTTTATTTTATCTTGCATATGGTTAGTATTTAGATATATAAATCGTAAATCTGATTTGAAGCACTGGAAATAATTTTCCTCTTTTTTTTCCCGGCATTACGTTGCAATAAATATTTAATAAGTTATAAGGTTTAACAGAACTCCGTCTTGGAGTTGTACTTGGGCTTGAACTTAAGAGACTAAGAATCAAACTAAACTAATCTTAAATAAAGAGATATAGCCGAACCTATCAAAATTCTAACAGTGTTGGCCCCTTAACGCTAATTGACTGCGAAGCTATCAAGGGCCTAAAGTACGGCCGATCGTAATAACAGAGTAGCCTAAAAAGGCGGACGCGTGCAGCCAGAATATTTGGTATCTCTCTCACTAAGACAGTAAAACTTCGCGGTTAAATATCGCTCTTCCCCATTAGCATTCAAACGTGATTCTAAAACTAAGTTCTGGCCGGAAGTGGTAAGCTGAAATTAAGAAGTTTAACTCAAAATTTAACTTTTAATAAAATTAACATAATCCTTACAAACCAAATATGGGACTAAATTGTCTTTCTGTGCTTTTTGTGCTGATAATTACCTAAAAAGTGACAAAATACACCATTTGAACTTCAAATATAGAGTTAACTGATCTTTGAAGTTCCCAATTTTCAGGATTTTTACTTATGGCCTATTGATTAAAGCTTCCGAAACCAGATAACTTCTGGGATTCGAATCCAGACTTATTTACTGCTTGAATTAGAGTTTTTGTGATTTCTCCATACATACGGGAAATATAAATCAATTTTCTTTAGAGAGTATTCCACGAGAGCAACTCCCTAAAACAAAGAGGTCTCTGTTGTCTATTATTAAGTACCAAATCAATCTTTTTTTCTCTTTGTCAAACTGTTCTGTCAACGCAGACTTTGTTCGCTGGCTTTAGAATCAAAGGATATTTTATGCACCTAAATAAATAAAAAATAATGTATGGTGTGTATATGGGTTCGTATAAATGGTGTTGGAAAATTAAATTTAAATACATCATCAATTAAAATTTAGGTATTATGTTAAATACAACGAATACTTCAACTTTTGTTAAATACTTCAACGAAATGTACTTCACTCCTTCTCCAGTTTAGTAGATAAACAGTAGGAGTGCAAGATCTCGAGTAAAAGTTAAATTTTAAGTAAAAGTTAAAATTTCAAGTAAAAAGACGATAAGTAATTAGTGCGAATTTATTAGTTCACCCTTTTATAATGTTTGACTGAGTTTGAGATCATTAAAATTTATTTCTCTATCAAAATATCCAAAAAGGATTTGTAACCAGGTACAATCAGTCAAATCTTATCCCTTTTCAGGAGCCCCATTAGTGGACGAGTGGTTAAAATTAATGAATATACGATTTTGAACCGGGCTCGATTCCAGTCGAACGATTATTTTAGTTATAATAGTAGCACGGTAAAATAAATGGGTTTCGTAGATTTTCGCACGTACAACGTGAATACAAATTAGTTTTCCTGAGAAAAATCTGCACGAAGGCATCCCATCACTTAAATAGATAGTCCCCGTGTTCTTTACGAATACAAATAATCTAAACTAACCCTTTTGATGATAAATGTCAATTTATCATTTAGATTTAGTATTTAATGTACTTTATTTTCGTAACTTTAATTTAATCAAAAATTTAACGGCATCTTGCCTTGCAATCAACTGCGAGATCATTTGTTCGGTTGTATTACTGACATAAAGTTTAGTCATGATAGTTTCACAATAAAATAGATAATTTTCTCTGGTTAGAGTGTAGAGACATTAGGTATTTTTTGAAAGCAGGAGAGATGAAAAATGAGCAAAGCCTTCGCCGGGAATTAAACAACAGACCTGTGGAATACGCGCCCAGCGTGCTGACCGCTACACTACGAAGGCATGCTAAGAACGCGGGAGAAATACCTTATAAGAGAACATTCTAAAGACCCTTAGTGGATCTTTATGTCTATAGCATTTGCTACAATTTTATCATGCCTTTGGGAATATAAATAATAGTTATAAGCAAATGCTAAAAGTTAACGTAAGAGAAACTTGTATTAGTAATTGTTAATGTTAATAAAAGCCTAAATGTTGAACAAAATGCAGTTTGAATAAAAAGCATTGTAAATTCTTTTTTTAATAGTGAATGTTTTAGGGAATTGCAATGAACGATATCTTTGTCCCTATCTTACCAAAAACTTACTCTTTTTACAGTAAAAATAATAATATAAGAAAGCAATTTCATGGCATAAATATCATCTCTATTTTCTTTATTTAAATATTTGCGTAATAAACAGAAATAAACAATATCAGAGTACAGAAGAATAAAGAACTTAAGTAACAGACATCGCATGTAAAGCAACCAACTTTATGGCATAAATATATTCTTCACTTATTCCATGTAACTGTTTCTATAATCAAAAAACACATAAAAACATGAATAACTTATTATTACAAAGATTTGCAAGTTAAAGTCTAAAAGCGTAAAATTCTATATTTTTCGGAATCATAGGAGAGAAAGTTGCAATCGGAAATTTAATAGACTTTTGAGCAATTTCGAAATCTCTGTTAAAAGGATGTGGTTATTGCATTAATACTTATTAAATACGCAATCGTAACGGCATGGGATGAGTAAAACTTAAAGAGCCTTTCTCAGAATTATACGAGTTCACAGTAGCTAGCATCCCCAAAAGTGCTCTGCAGCATTAGTTTAAGGAGAAAATTATATAGCACAAAATAAGGATGTTCTGATTGGTATCTAAAATACAAAAATTTTAATATTTTTCTTTCATAAATGACTGGATTCATAGATCCTTTTATATTTTACAAATGAATTTATAATAAAAAATATTGTTATATTTTATTAAAATAAAATTATATTAAAATTAATTATATTTAATTTTAAAGGTAGCAACTCGTTTGGCTTATGGAACAGCGCTTACCAAACTCGGTCGGAGTAACAACCGCATCGTAGCTTTGGATGGAGATACTAAAAACTCAACACATTCTGTAAAATTTCGTGAAGCTTTTCCGGAACGATTCGTAGAATGTTTCATTGCTGAACAGAACTTGGTGGGAGTCTCCGTAGGAGCATCTTGCAGAGGAAGAACAGTACCTTTCGTCAGCACATTTGCCACATTTTTTACCAGAGGGATGGATCAGTTAAGGATGGCGGCTATATCGCAATCAAACATCAACTGCTGCGGCTCCCACTGCGGGGTATCCATAGGTAATAATAAACTCGTTCTATCTTCCCGATCATAATTTTTATGATGCAATCTATTTCAATCATTCTATTGCCACGAGTCTTTTATGATATAATCTTCGTTTAGAAAAGAAGCATTTGCTTCTCAAAGTATTCTAAAAATTCATTATTTCAAATGCAAAATATGCGCAGTTTGACTGCGTTTCAAATGTTTTGTAATGAATTGTTGAAGCATGGTTATAAGACCCGATGGGTTTAATGTATTACAAAGAAACTGCAGCCTGCAGTTCTCCATTTCGCGAGACAGTTAAAGATACTTTCTGACAGAAGTGCTGCATAAAACGTTCAATGTGTTCCACAAAACGTCTCTAAACATTGACATCGATAATCTAAACATCTATCATTGACAAAAAGCTAGGTGATTCATGGAAATTTCTCAGAGACCAGGTGGTCCCCATACACAACATAATTACTAATCAGTTTATGTGCAAAACTGATTAGTACTTATGTTACGTTTTTCCCCATACATAACATAAATACTAATCAGTTTTGCACAGAAGTTTCCTCGAAGACATCCCTACCCTTAAACAGGTATCCTTGCTTTCCCTGCTGTAAATAATTATACCAAAAATAGGGGAAGTAGAAAGTTTCCCGGAAAGGGATCTGGACAACTGGGCGATCCTCTATTTATGCACTTTCCATCTTTCGGCAAGATAAGGACCCACAATGGCATGGGTTGGTTTAAGATACTTCTTCAGAAGCTGACGAGACATTTTACCTTAATTTGCCCTTTGTAACTAAAACTTCAACCAGATAAATACCTCGTGTCTTATGACTTTCCGCAGTCCTACTGGCTGCATGGGCATTTTCATGGTTTTCTCCATATGTAACATGGATACAAGCCAGCTTCCCTCAGAAAGTCTTTCACGGGACATTCCTCCCTTTCCGTGTAGAGCCTAATGGCAGAGCACAAAATAAAATATGTAATTAAAAAAATAATTAAGCATTATGTGTAAAAATCAAACTGTTAAATTTATTCTATAAAAGCTCATTTTATCAATTATGTAGCAACTGTTTTTCAGTTTAATATTTCCCTAATTCATCTTATCAACTGAACATCAAAGTTTGTACTTATTTTAATATTAAATGTGCTCAAAAGATTTCCGTTAATGGATGTATCCTTAAAACTGTTTGATTCGATACTTATTATAAATTAAAATGTTGAACAGCTAGTATATCTTCTTACGTATTTATATCGAAAGGTGTTATGATTCTACGTCTTTCAAGAAAGTATTAATTTTTTTTCAAATGGATATTTGCTCATTAAGCTATGGCAGGAGTGGCAGTACACATTACTCATTATCCATCCCATCACCCAGAGGTTTGCTTAGGTTGCACCACAGGGGTAGATATCAGAGATGTCTAATAATCCAAAAGTTTTTTCCGTTTCGATTATTATGCATTACGACAATATTGCTTGAAACACCTGTTTCTCCTGGCAGTTTTCATATCGTTTACCTTTAAATACTCATTACATCAGAGAGGAAATTCTGTTGAATTCACGGGATATTTACCTGCATCTAAAATCAAAAATCATATGTCTTCTTATTAGAAGATGGAGACGACTTGTATATGAATCTATGTAGTAAAAAATAAAGGGAATGAAAGAAGAAATCAGGTAGTGTTAAAATTTATCCTTCTCTAAATCGATATTTTCCCCCATTTCTTTTATAGGGGAGGATGGCCCTTCACAAATGGGACTGGAGGACTTAGCTTTATTCCGTTCCATACCGGGTAGTACAGTTTTCTACCCGAGCGATGCAGTATCAACGGAAAGAGCCTGTGAATTAGCTGCGAATACGAAAGGAATCTGCTACATTAGGACCTCACGCCCTGAAACTCCAGTTATATACAAAAATACTGAAAACTTCGAAGTTGGCAAGGCTAAGGTAACATTATATTGATATTTAAATTTATTTTAAGTTTTCTTTATTTTTGTAGTATCGGTTTGCCTAATCGTCAAAACTATAAGGCACATGATGTAAAAAGTTCCTTTACAGAATTGGATTTTTTTTTCAAGATATATCTTCTGATTCTTTACTGCATCATATGTCATTAATGTTATTCATGAATTCTTATTCTTCTTTAATGCTATCATAATTATTAGCTCCTTTCAATGTCTAATTTGTACAGAAATAGTGAACTGAAATGCTAGAGTGATTTGGTGTAGTATAAATCGGTATTGGCAGAAGATCGAGGTATATAGTACAATTTCACAACCAAGAATGAAATGGTAAAGTGATTTGATACAGTATAAATCAATATTGGCAGAAGATCGAAATATATAGTACAATTTTTACAACCAAGAAACAATCAATAAAAGGGTGGTTACTATCCTAAATTACTCTATAATTACTCTATTTAGTTTCTAATTACTTGGTTACCCTATAATTTTTATTAAAGTTGTTTAGGATATCAAATAAACGACTTTTATTGCAACAGTATATCATATGAAAGGTCTGGGCTGTAGGAATTTAAATCATCTTTTAGCAGGTGTTTGGGAATAGATCGTTATTTCATGTTCTAAATATAAATTAAAATAGCTATTTTATAAAAAAGACCTGTCTTTTATAAAAAGGACATTTTTATAAAATCTTATGAAAATTTTATAAAAAAGATGCATGGTTTGCCAAACGGGTTGCGATTTAATGCAGTCGGCAGGCTCAAGGCATACGACAGTAATTCAGATGTTACATGATGAATGAATGCGAGTTCTGATGATCACAGAATGTGGAATTAGTACTTTAACATGCATTGTGCATCCGGAAATTAGAGTCAGGAAAGCCTAAAGTTTAGACCTTCGTACAATATCGAATGCGAGAGACTAGTTTTAAACACAAAAGTAGTCAATTCGGATTCTACGCCTATTCTTTTTCATACATTGTTACGGAGCATAATAACAGTTCTACTGAGCTCCGAAGGTTGCAAAATGGAGGTCCAAATTAAAAGCGGTCAGTTAATTTATGTTTTACTACGCAGAAGGAAGATGTTGAATTCTACGCGTAATCATATAAAATGAGCTGTAGACCAATCGAGAGCCTAAATCTTCGGAAGTGAGTTGTTGCAAAAAATTATCAAGGTTATACAGAGAAAATATACTTAGCTGTCATTTCAGTAGCATACTTCAAATAAGGTAAAGATCCGTGTCCACAAAAATCCTTACCCGGCCTTTATTATTGCAGCCGTTGGTCGAAGACATACATTTCGAGTTACAAAAATGTTTTAAATGAAGCAAATATTCATGTTTTTGTATTTTAAAATTTAAGACAAGAATTAATTTTGTATAAAAGTTGAAATCTTACTTTTTACACTTCCTCTGAATATTTATGTTTAGGTAAAATTTTGTACTCATTGTAAAAAATAAAATACATAAGGCTTATAAAATAAAACACAAAAATTCATCGAGATAATTAATAAAAATTTTATGATATTTGATATCATTATGTATTTAAATTGAGAGTTGGTTAATAAAAAAATTATTGTAGGAGATAATTTTTTAATCATAGATTAAGCATGTAAGTGACAGGTGTCTCCCAGTGATATTTGTCGCAAGTTTGCAATTCAGTAGAATGCTGTGTATAATCGAAAGGATAATCTGTAATTAACTTTTTGTTAAATAAATGAAATAATCATCGTTTAAAAATGATTTTTTTTCATTCTAGATACATTTTAATTTAATTTATGCGAATAATGCTATCAGTTGGCTATGTGTCAATACTGAAACCTGCCAGTGTTTTCTAGAAGACGAAATCTATAAGATTCTGCGAATAAGATCTTCATATTGAAAATATTATATTAAATAGTATTTTTCATTACTCTGCAAAGAAATATTTTTCACATAATCTCTTAACACAAGACACATTTTTCGAAATGATATTTCATTTTTAGTTACGTACAAATGCAAACATTTCGTAGCAATAAGCAATCGTATTCAAGGTCTGTACACAAACTAAACAGTCCTTGAATACGATTGCTTATTTTAATGTCAAATATCCCGGACAGACTCTTTCTCTTATTATATGTTATAAGGTATTTCTCGCGCCTTCTTAGCGAGCCTTCGTGGTATAGTGGTCTGCACGCTCAGCGCGTAATTGGGAGGTCTGCGGTTCAATTCCCGGCGAAGGCGTTGCGTGTTTTTCATCTCTTCGGCCTCCCCCCCAAAAAATTAATATCTCTACAGTGGCACCCGAAATAATTTTTCATCTTTCCTGCTTCCAAAACACCTAATGTCTCTACAATGTAGAGACAATGTAATAACAATGTAATAATATATTAGCTAACTTATATCGTATACTTAATTTACGTATAATAACAATTTTTTTAGCTGTTTTTCTCAGTGTTGTCAAGAAGACTTTTCAATTAACTTTCTAAATTGTTTTATACTATTTCTATTCGTTTTGCAGGTTTTAAAAAAATCGGAAAAAGACAAAGTTCTCATCATAGGTGCAGGAGTTACTTTGCATGAGGCTATGAAAGCCTGTGACATATTGGCTGAAGGTGGCATTAATGTCAGGGTACTGGATCCTTTTACGATAAAACCAATCGACAAAGAAACAGTACTTGAAAATGCTCGTCAATGTGGGGGGAAGATTATTACTGTTGAAGATCACTATCCAGAAGGTAAGTTAATAGTGGCTTTAAAGCACTAATTAAAATATCTGCAGAAAAAAAAATGACTAAAATACTGAGCATGAGAAAATTATATAAAATCAGTCTGGACAGCGTGTTAGATGTTGCACAGGAAATTTTTCAGGGAAAACATTACTGAGATTCTGCCTTGATGTCACATAAGTAAATGCAAAACTTTATTTGTATTATTTCCTGTATGCTTGATATATTATATAAATCCTCAAAACTGAAATAATCAACTCAGTAAATTGCATTAAAATTAACTCATTAAAGTAAATAGGTAAATGTAGTCGAACTTTGCATTCAGTTATCAGTTTTAATTCGTGTAAGAGGTCATAGATGAAAACAAAGATTATCGTTGGTCTATGAATTATGACTTGATAGATTATTTTCAGGCAATATTCTGTTTTCCTTCATTGACTTAAATGTGAATTATAAAATGAGATTTATGCTGATATTAAACTCATTCTATTATTCTTAAATGTTCTACTTTTTTTTCTGATTATAAGGATGAAAACAGAGTTTTTAATTTTGCTCCCTACTGTTTTGCTGCGCAGTTAAGGTGTTAATTATAAAACAATTTTAATAAAATATTAAATTATTTTATTAAAATTATTTTATGTTGTATTAAATGCATAAAATAAAATTTAAGCGCATAAAAATTGAGCAAAATGTGAAGCTTAAACTCAGTTATGTACATTAATAGTTATAATCACGTTTTACGATTAACCATTTATTCGTGCACTGCCAAATCGCTAATGAATTCATGTTAGTAAATAACGATGATAAAAAATTTCGCAAATAACAATTTATGCACATGATTATCCTGATTACTCGGAAAAGTGGGAAAAATTTTTAAAGAATGAGTAAACCCTGTTGAATCAGTTACGTATTACACTTAATGAAAAAATGTACACTTGTTGCAGATCATAGAAATTCTTAAGATTTGAGCAGTGAAGGACAAGGAAATTAAAATAAATCCAAGTTTTTCGAAAAATGAAATACACTCATAGTACATCCGACTATTTTCAGAAAATCTATGTTAATACTGAGGTATCATCTAATTTTAGATTGTAAGACACACACCAATTTTAAGCCATGTTTTTTCCTTTCTGTAGAAAAGTACGTCTTATAATGCGAGATAATGAAAGATTGAGTAGTAAGTACAGACAAAAAGAAACATCAGCATCTAAACGCGTTGTATCTATAGTAAAAAGGGCAGAAATGAAAATTCTTCAATCGTTAAACAGCATTAAATTGAGACAGCTATGTATAAATAAATGAATTTGAATATAATGACTTAATTGGTGTTCTAAAATTCCAAGATATTAAAAGAAATATGTTTTGCACCGAATTACGTTGTGCTGATGTAAGTACTGTTTATTTATGAATAATGTAAATATTAACCTTCCTCTTATATAATTATACAATTTTATGTTCATATAGCAGTAAAAACTGTATTATCCATATAACTTGCTATAACAGAATTGTTTATAACAATAAAAATTGTACTACAGTAAAGCCTCGGTAACACGAATCCCAAGGGACAGAAAAATCAAGATTTCATGTTAAAAAAATTTGGTTAGCTGAAGAACTCAAAATTTTGGAATAGTTATTTTCTATATATTAACCCTTTATACTATATAGATACATACATAATGCAGTATGTTATGCATGTCGTCAAAGAAACCATCACAGTACGGCATTAATTACTACACTGTAACTTGAAAAATTGCACTCGCTGATTATTTTGTGGTGAAAAATTCTTATATGTTGCTCTGTCGCAGATAGGAAAGAAAATGCCTGCCAACTTCACGGTCAGTAGTACTCATCCATATCTTCTGTAAAACTAGCGGTAAGTTTGCATGTTACAGCAAAACACTCTACAGTGTCCAAGGCACCTAACACTTCCTGGCGGGAGGAAGGAATGATATTGTCATCCTCACGTTTTTTTCTGATGACATTTCTTGCACTTCTGTCACAACCGACTTCGCTGGAGTACACACGACAACATCGTCACCTGCAGAGCTCCTGATATGTAACATCAATGTTCGCAACATCTTAATTAAGAACTGTTCAAGATTAACATTAGCAATACTAGCTAAATCTTAAAGAATAGAGAAACACATCTGAACACGGAATTGCATTTATTGGTTGAAGCTCGCGACTTGCTGACCGCGATTGTCGCTCAATGTTACTTATGCTGGCTATGTTTCAAGAATGCAGTCAGTGTATTATCTGAGGTTTTCAATTTAACATGACAGAATATTTCTGAACCCAGCCCTAGCAGAAAAATAACAGGACAAAATATAAATAACTTTGAAACTTCATGTTAAAAGAAAATTAACTAAAAAACAATTAACGCAATTAACTAAAAAACAGTTTACCGAATTTCGATAAATGAAATATCCGATAAAACCGATAAAACTTTCTGTAAGATTATGTATGTACGTCGTTGCCAGGACCGAAATTTTGTTCATGTTAGCTAAATATTCGCCCTAAGCGAGTTCCTGTTAAAGAGGTAAAGGGGATTTACTGTACATGTACAGAATTTTTTATAATGAATCATTGTAAATGTTTCAAAGTTAGGCGCATTCCGGAATCAGTTGATCGTATTTCAGTCACTTTCGGGAATAGGAACAGAATCTATAAAAACAATATTTCATGCAAATTTAGGCATGTCATTTAGATTAAGATAACAATACTCAATCACTTTCGTCTTCTTTAAACTGGCCTAGTTCTTGCATTTAATTTTAATTATGATGTTATATCTTAATTGGCCTTAATTTAGACACTGGTAACCTTCCTAAACTGCAAGAAGAATTCTGTTCTTGTCATTAATTTAGATCCAATAAATCAAGTATTTACAACTAATTATAGTGATTATAATTAAAGAAGTTACTCCAATATTTATTTATACTTCCGTTTGAAGTCACAAAAACTAAAATATTTTCCTTTCTTGCGCCCTGAGAATATAATAATAGTTCAGTTACTTTCAAATAAGAATAAAAGACCAAGAATCTGACTCCTATGCTTTCGCTTCTTCTAATGTAACTGCAAATCGAAAGCCAAAATTTAACCGACCATCAGTACAGCACTATAGAGAGTAGAAACTGAAGCTTACAGGGCTTCTGATCTAAAATATCAATACTGTCTCTTAACTTTGATTTTCTTTATTATTTACACTAGATCTGCATTTTTGATGGAGCTGACGGAAAACAGAACTGCAGGAAAGATGTAACATTAAAAAACTTGCTAATTAAATATGATAATCGAAGACAATTTAAATAGAATTCTTTTTGACACTCATTATATTGTTTTAGTGCAAAAGTTAAGTAAACATAAATAAGTAATAATAAGCAATTTTAAATGTACATATGAATTTCAGATTAATTTTCTTTGATTCAGTTTACAGTATCAGTTTTAAAAGTTTGATTCCTGACTAAGAAATATATAGATAACGGCTTTTACGTTTATAAAAAATGATTTACGTCTTTTTGTAATTAAAATGGATTGAAATACTAGGTCTGTAAATGGATGTAGTAATAAGCTGTGTGTTTGAATATTCATTAGAGCATGGGGGGAAAGTATAGTGCATTGAAAAAAAAACTGCTTTATTCAAAATTTCAGTGCATTTTTTTTAATTCTGTTTTTCAACTCATAGAGAATATCTTGTATCGCAGACTCTCGGTGTTACTTCATGAAAGAAATTGAGTTCCCGAAGAAAACACAATCACGTTATCTTAATGAATTGTGTCTTAATAGAGATTTATATTTATCACACAGTTTTGTGAAAATTTTTAATACAAATTCAAATTGTTAATATAAATTAAACTGAGAGAAGATATTTTCATAGGTGGTTTAGGAGATGCCGTATCAGAAATAACTTGTGAGGAAAAAGATCTTCTTCTTAAACGAATTGCAGTCACTAAGCTTCCAAGAAGCGGACCTGGAGATGTTCTCTTGGACATGTTTGGTATAAGTTCCAGATGTATAGCAGAAGCTGTCAAGGAATACGTCCGATAATATTGAACTTCAGCTGAAAGGAGTAGAAGCCTATACAAGCACATAATGTAAATCTGCTTTTTGTCTTTTTTCCTTACTATGTATATTTTAAATAAATTTTGATCAACATTTTCTTAATTTTAAAAAGTTTTGTGATGATCTTTTTAGAAACCAAACAGAATTTCTGAAATAAAGTTTAATTCCAAGATTGGGTAAGGTAATAGAAGTAAATTATCTTTAGACATTTGTTAATTTTACAATGAGCTAGTTCAATCCCTAATTTAATTCAAAGCGTGTGAACCACAGGGCATTCTTATTCCAACAAGACACTTTTAAGTTATTTTATAAAATAAATGTGTCGAAAAGGAAAAAAAACTGGCATGTATTCAATGATCTCTGACTACTTTTTAATGCGCTTCTTTCTTAAGAAGTAAAATAAATGCGATGGTTCTAGAATTTTTAGAAACTAACTTGACACCAAATGAGAACCAAGAAACTAACTTGACACTAAATGACACCAAATGAACACCAACCAAGATTCTAGAATTTCTTAGAAACTAACTTGAGACCAAATGAGAGAGAAAAAGCTCGTTATGGCATAACCCAATCATCCATCTGTACGATTGTTATCAGATGACGTACTTGCTTTTAAAGAGACAGTGGTCATATTTTTTACTTGCAGTCTCGAACCCGATCCCTTTTTTTCCTCAAATTTCTTTTTTTTTTTTTTTTTTTTCTCTCTAATCTAATTCTCTCTTAGAGATTTCCTCAGCAGTCAGTGTTTGTTATTTGTTTATTAGCGTGGTGTTTTTTCTATTAGCTTGGTAATTTGTTTAGTAGTTTGTGTATAAGCGTGGTATTTGTTTGTTAGAGTGTTTTATTTAACGTTTGTTTATTAGGTCGGTTTAACGTGGTACTTTCTGAAGGGTGCTAAGCCTTTTTGTACTTAGTGGAGATATATTCGGAATGAAGATTTTTCTATGGAGGTAAACTATTCCAGCCAGGTACTCTGGTGTTCACCACTTCTACCGGAGAGCGTAGTAACAAAGAGTATTAGTATAAAAATAGCATATAATTCAATAAAATATAGTTCTAGTTATACTTACTTATAATTTAAGAGTAAATAGATACCCGGCGAAGGAAAATATTTATTTCACAGTTTGATTTGTTTTTACACTCATGTCCATAAATTAAGGATAATGCAAAATCAGGCAAAGGAAGAGTTAGAATCAAAACAAATTTGACTTATTTGTAAAGCTCATTTATTAAACAAAAGGTTATAACGTTGCGCGCCTCTGACTTGCACGCAACCAAGAGGTGACTGTGAAAGCTTGTATAAAAGATAGAGCCTTGTGAAGGGTTTAAGTCCCTTTTTATTCAACGTAATAAATTACAATTGCGTTCTCTTGACGCTTACAGACGGTGCCCACTTGGCAGTCAAATAAAAATAATAAACTGAAAAGAAAGTAAAGACAAGATTCTAACTACGAGGCTCTCTAAAATAACTAACTCACCGCGTTTTACAATACCGCTGCTAATTCAGCAGACTTGAAGCTCACTGGAACGATCACCACTACTTCCCGCCAAGCACATAGGCCGCAACGCGGGGTTCTTCAATTCTCGCTAACTACCTCCGCGCTCGCTAAGTAAGAATTATCACACCGAACTCGTTTCATTCTATTTAAATCAGAATACTTCCGCTGATAATTTGAATGCTTGCGCGTTCTACTCAAATTTACATATTCTGGCATTGGCAGTTCCAGGGGAAAGTAAGGCTTGACAGGAAAGATAGTTTAAACTTAAAATAAATGTTAGTTAAAATAAATATAAACCCTACAAGGTAAAGAGCAAAAAAAAGATGCTATATGTTTGATATTATTAAAAAAAAAATTAGCGATTTTTTCTCCCTGGAGCAAATTACAAAAAAACCTATTTACAAAAATCCAATATTACATGGTTGGTATGATTGTTAATACATTGAATGTCTCCCAGACGATGCAATACAGTCCGTATAACGCCTAGGCATGCTGAGTATCAAATTATCGATCTGATCTTGGGAGATATTACACCACTCAAAAAGCAATGCTCACGAAGTTCCAGTAGACATGTAGGAGGAGGTTGACGAGCTGCAACTCGTTGGCCAAGCATGTCCCACACGTGCTCTACTGGATTCAAGTCCGGTGAGAATGCTGGCGAGTCCGTACGGGTGATATCCTCCGATTGAAGGCATTCGATTACGATGTTTACACGATGAGGACGGGCGTTGTCATCCATAAACACATATTGTGCTCCCATGGCTCCCCGAAACAAACGTACATGTTGTTCCAGAATGACGTCCCGATAGATTTGGCTTGTCATGGTTCCAATTTGAACATGCATGTCAGTTCTGAAAGCAGAATAATTCCACTCCAAACGAGCACTCCTGCATCACCGTAACGGTGTCGTTCAATGAGGTTTTCTTGGTGGTAATGGGTACCTGGAGCTCTCCATATGAAAGTCCGGTAAGAATCAGACTGCAAGCTAAACCTGGACTCGTCGAAAAACATCACACAAGCCCACTGTTGCGGTGTCCACAATGCATGCTCTCTACTCCAGGCTAACTGCAGGCGACAGTGAGTTGCAGTAAGTGGAACGCATCTGACAGGTCTACGAGCATATAGACCAATGTACCCTAAGAGTCTGTACACGGTATGCCTTGAAATTGTCGTACCAGTGGCTGAAGAGAGCTGACGAGACAGGTCTGAGGCTGTGCTCCGCCTGTTTCTTTTGGCAGTAACTGCCAAATACGGTCCGTCTCATTCGGCGTTGTAACTCTGGGGCGACCTGTGCTGTAACGTCTACTCACATAACGATCATCTTGGAATCATTGCCAAAGCCTGGAGATGACACTCTGGGCAATTCCAAGTTCGTCTGATACTTACAGTTGGGTACGCCCACATTCCAGACGGCCGATAATTCTACAACGTAAAAAATCATCCAAATGCGTCCTTTGTGTCATAACTATTCGATTATTGCACTGAAATGCTTATAAAGCGCCTACGAACAATTTTACTTCTTTGCCTGTATTCCTTATATATCACTCTCTTTCACTCTCGTCATTGTGACGTACCATTGGTGTCATCTGGTTACTTCCTGAAATTTGCATATGATTCTTGAAGATGTGTGTAGTGATTTTAGTGATATATTTATTTTAGAGTTCGATTTCCGCGTGACTCCGAATTATCCTTAATTTATGGACATGAGTGTATTTTGATTTATTTTATGCTTCCCTGTTCAAAAATTCCCCGCATGTTCAAAAATTGTTTATTCTAGTCCTTTTACAACGTTGGTTTATGGGGTTTGCAAGTAATCTATTTCTTTTTTCTTTATTTCTATACTTTTATTCACGCTTAAATTACCATCCTCAGACAGTTACAGGTAAATGTATAGGGAAGCAAGAGCGATGTACCATGGGTCAACTGGTAATCTCTTCCCTTACTAACTAATAAAAAAAACTGCAAGTTTTATAAGAGTTTACAAAGAAATGCTGAATAAATGAGCAACTGAAGCTTTTTAAAAGCTCTAGTTCCACCAGCGGCCGAGCGGTAACGTCGCTGAACACTGGTAGTTCGGTCCGAGGTTTGAATCCCGCAAACGTGCTGGCTGCATGGGTGTTTTCGCGGTTTTCCCCATGTGTAACGTGTATACGAGGCAGTTTCCCTTAAAAAGTCCTCCATGCAGACATCCCTCTCTTAAGGCAGATAGCCCTCGAGTGCTTTGCCGTAATCTAATAAACCAAACCAAAGGATCTAGAATTTACCTATTATAGTGCAACCGTGCAGTCCCAATCACGACACACATTATTTATTACAAATAATGATTTAGTATACAAAGAGATTACAGTATAGTTTTAATAGAATCTGAAATTCACAAATTGAATTGAGAACATTTGTTTTAATGCAACAAAAATAACGGATAAGCATAATAAGTAAGAGATAAACATAATGAGGTAAATATAATAAGTTCTGGTAACACAATATTATAATAAATGTAATAATAATGCTAAAGAGGTGTCCGTGGGGTTATTATAGTTATAAAAGTTTATTATAGTTTTATAAAGTTCAGAAATGGAATTCATTTGGAAAGTTCATTAAAGTTATGCAACATGAGAAACATATACTTGAAAAAGATCTAGGACGTAGGAAAAGAGTCACTGCGTAATTTTTTTAAACTTCAGATACTGATATGTATCTTAAATTCGAAACCTTTGGAATGCCAGAAGATCACTTTGTGAAGAATTTATGTGATTATCCTCAGTTAAGGAGCAGGAAAAAGTGTAGTGATAAGGAATTGCCGGTTCTCCAAACATGCAGATGAAGTTCGCCATACTTCTTGCGTATGTTAGTATGGGAAAGGGTCCGTGTCCTGCTATCTAGTAATTCAATGAAGGACTCGAGTACAGAGATGCGATGCTTACATTGGGGATCAAATTATATGTGCGTCTGTGATGCATTATTCCATAAATCTTGTCGATATTTCGAAGCAAGTTATTTTAGTTGGTATTTGAAATTTGAACGAGGAGGCCATGCAAGGGTGATTTCAAGACCATCTTAATAAGAGCTGTTCTCTGGCTAATGCATCTGCTTACCGAAAATGGCCGCTATGTCCTTTGATCCATGAAATTTGAATTTTATAGATTTCAATTAAAGCAAGAAGAAAATTTATGTCGGAAACCAATGGAGAGGAAGGTATGGGATTCTTAATCGCTAAACCACTCTCAAATACAGTATAAATGCTGTAGAAGTACTGGGTTTATAAACTACATACACATCCAACTCGCATTAGCTGCTTATATTTATAACGTTATCTTGTCACTATCATGTGTAGCGTTATCTTGTTGAGAGTCTGATTGGCAAAATTTTCTTTGCATTTTTCAAAGAACTTCTTTGCTTCTTCTGTCCACGGAATTTTCCCTTTTTTTTTTTTTTTTTTTTGTTTTGTTTTGTTTTTGTTTTGTCATTGATTTCTGTTGAACCTTTTAAATATTCATTTAATGGAGTTTGGCTGTTAGGTATTATATTTTAAGTATCTTCTATAAAAGCTAATCATTCATAAAAATTTATGAAGTTCGTGAATAGTTTTAGGAAGTTTGAATATCTTCTGACATA